GGTTGTCACGAGCGCTGACCAAAATCCCCCCCCCCCCAGCCGCAGAGAAATCTGCAGCCTACCCCAGACTCGGAAGAGAAGGGCACTCTCCGGCTAGCTGCTGCGGAGGTAGCTATCTGCTGACTCACCCGCCAAGACAAAGTAAGTAGACTGGCTTGCTCAGAGAACTCTTGCGACCTTCGCTTACCAATTCCTCTCCGGGAATAGAAAGGCAAAGACAAAGAAAGCGGGATGGAAAAGGGGTCGGAATCAAGGGGCCAAGCAAGGTGGAGCATTCCTTTTCTCTTCTTGCTGTCTTTGTTCTGCCTGGCGCTGTCGGAGCAAATCCACTACGCTGTTCCTGAGGAGCTGGCCAAGGGCTCGCTCGTGGGAAACCTTGCCAAAGACCTGGGGGTTAGCTTAGAGGATTTGCCTACTCGGAACCTGCGGGTCAGTGCAGAGAAGAAATTCTTTGCTGTGAGCACCGAGAATGGGGACTTACTTGTGAGCGACCGTATAGACAGAGAGCAGATTTGCGGCAAGAAGTCGACATGTGTTCTGGAATTCGAGGTGATGGCTGAAAAGCCTTTAAACTTTTTTCATGTAACTGTGCTGATCCAGGATATCAATGACAACCCACCAACTTTTAACCAAAATATCACTGAGCTGGAAATCAGCGAACTGGCTCTAACTGGAACCACTTTTGCCCTGGAACCCGCGCAAGATTTGGATGTTGGTGTCAATTCACTGCAGCAGTACCACCTCAGTCCCCACCCACGCTTCTCTTTGATTCAGAAGGAGAATCCAGATGGCAGTAGGTACCCAGAGCTGGTACTGAAAGCTCCTCTGGACAGGGAAGAGCAGTCCACCCACCACCTGGTCCTCACAGCTCTGGATGGAGGCGAGCCATCCAGAAGTTGCACTACCCAGATTAGGATAATCGTTGCAGATGCAAATGATAACCCCCCAGTGTTTACCCAGGACACGTACAGGGTCAGTGTTTCAGAGAACCTTCCCCCTGGCTCCTCTGTGCTAACACTGATAGCCACTGACCCAGATGAGGGTGTCAACGCTGAAGTCACCTACGCCTTCATCACTACTGAAAAGTCAGTGACACAGCTGTTCAAGCTAGACAGTTACACAGGGGAACTCACCACTGGTGAAGGACTGGACTTCGAAGAGAGAGCGAGCTACACAATTGGGGTGGAAGCAAAAGACAGTGGACATCATACTGCTTATTGTAAAATACAGATAGACGTGTTGGATGAAAATGACAATGCCCCTGAGATAACCCTGGCTTCTGAATCTCAACATATACAGGAGGATGCGCTGCCAGGAACTGTGGTTGCACTGATCAAAATATATGATCTGGACTCTGGAGTAAATGGGGAAATCCTGTGTCAACTCAAAGGAAAATTCCCATTTAAAATAATTCAGGATACAAAAAACACATACAGGTTGGTGACAGATGGAGCCCTAGACCGCGAGCAGTTTCCCGACTACAACCTCACCGTCACAGCCTCCGACAGAGGCAGTCCACCTCTTTCTTCCAGCAGAACCATCACCCTGCACATCGCTGACGTTAACGACAACGCCCCGGTTTTCCAACAGGCCTCCTACTTGGTACACGTGCCGGAGAACAACCCGCCTGGAGCCTCTCTCGCTCAAGTCAGCGCCTTTGATCCGGATGTGGGACCCAATGGCCACGTTTCCTATTCCATCGTAGC